ATATCTAACTGTCTAACAGTAGGAGTGAATGGTAAAAGAAAGACTATACATATAATGGATTATTACACAGTTTTTAGAAATAGTCTTTCAAGAATTTTAATAACATAAGAGTAAATGCTTATTATATGATGTTAAGTGAGTTCCAGTTTTATATACTTCAGTAACATCCATGTCATGCCTTTCTAATCTGTTTTTATAGCCATTATTAGAGCAAAATAATCTTGCATTCTCTTCAGAAGTTACTTGCCAACCACTACAGATAAAACTAATTTTTAGCCTTCTTGAGCTAAAAATTTCCCCTTGAAGTCTGAAAGTGCTCATTAACAATTATGAATCATCCATTTAGATAAGAAGTCACTTGGAATAGAATAAAAACATTATGGAAGAACATATATGTAAGTTTCTAGTTTTGTATCTTACTAAAATGATTAAATCAGGCATATTTTCATTTTGATTCATGAAATTGACAACATTTTAAAACTACAGTTTGGAAAATGAGTTCACCAAACTTAACCTCACTGATCCTCAGGAGGTAATTAACATTTATTGAATGCTTTCTATGGCTGATTACTGCTCTAAGGCAGTGTTCTAAACATAGAACATGTATTAACTCATTTAATCCTCAAAACAATCCTTTGAGGTAGATATTATTATTATTCCTGCTTTACAGATGAGGCAGCTGAGGCTCAGAAAGTTAAGCAGCTTGCCTAGGTAAAAAGTGGTGGACCAACGACTCTAACTCAGGCCACTCTTTAAACTGTTATTTGGAGTTTATTCCAGAGATAGAATTCCAAAGGACAGGAGTAAGGTCAGCTGAATAAGTGAGGATGGTTTCAACCAAGAGTCAAAACTTGTAACTAGAGCCCAAATAAGAGGAATGGTTTTAGATGAGTGATTCCTAACCTTCATCTCATCAGTCTTAAGTAGTGTTTGATAGTATGGACTCTGGAGACAAAAATGGGGAAAATAATAGTATACCTCATAGAGATGTTGTGAAGACCAAAAGTGAATGCATGTAGAGCATGTAGCATAGTGCCTTGCATATAGTGCTCAGTAAATATTAAGCTATTATTAAAGATTTCTTAAGAACTTCCTAGAAAAACATGCATATTTATATGTACACACAAGCATACAACTTTGGGCCTTTTGTGGACCACATAAAGCCTATGTGTGGATCCTCTTAACCAGAGCCCTGGTGAAGAAACCCTGCTGTAACTGAAGAAATACTCTTTTACTCTTGAATGTGGTTGAATCAGAGTTTTAATGACTAAATAATATATAATTTCATAGTATCTCTCATCTCTCTTGACTGGTGATGCTTACATTAGTTGGGGGATTGACTCTCAAACAGAATTTGCAGCCATTCCCATCCTTCATTTCTGCAGCTCCCTAGATCTTCACATATCATTGTTTAAGACATTTGGGCCTCCACCGCCACCATTACCTCTTCCCAACTGTATCAGTAACCCAGTAGCAGTAGTGATCGGAACCCTAAAACTCTACGAAGAAATAGCAGAAGAGAATAAGCTAAGGTTATCATGGATTAGAAAACTAGATTGCCAAACTGTGTTCAGTTCCAGGGCCACATTTAAGGGGGCTGTTGAGAAAGTCCAGAAGACAATGACAAGGGTGGCAAAGGATATGGCTACCACATCATGTGAAGAACTGTTGTCAGAGATAGGGAGAGAGAAGACTAAGGTAGAGGTAGGTAAACTGTTACTAGCCTTCTTCTCTGTAGCTTTAGGGAGGCTGTATGATATAGTAATTATAAGTCCAGAGTTAGACCTGCATTCAAATCCAAACTCTACCACTTTCTGGCTAATATGACCTCAGGCAAGTAACTTAACCTCTCTGACCTCAGGTTTGCTTTTTGTGTTTTTTTTTTTGGTAAAATAGAGATGATATTAGTACCACCTATGGGATTCATAGGATTAAATAGTGACGTTTGAAGAGCACTGTGCAATATCTAGCATGCCTTAAGAGCTCATTCAGTAGATGTTGTATAGCTTCCCCTCAGGCTGCATTTGCAAAAATTAGTTGATGTTTAGAGAGGCAGATTCTGGTTCAGTGTGAGAAAGAATATGTTCAAGGAAAGACTGAGCAACTGTGTATTATGTGTCAGAGAGTCATAGATGAATTCTACTATCTGGTAAAACGCCATAGTCTACTAAGTTTCCTTTCCACTCTTAAGACTTTGATTTTATAAAGGAGGCCCACATGAAGACTGTTTCATTAACATAGTTGTTTATGTTACAGTATTAAATTCAAAGAAGTTGTGAAATATTTTAGTTTAACATAATGAGATTTTTATCAGCTTCTTTAGTTATACTGTTTACAAATTGAGAGACCTTGCCAAGGATCACTGGTTTAAGTGGTATTATTAGAATTAAATTTGAGTCATGAAGGCTTCCAGACAATGTTCTATCTATGGAGAGAAGCAAAGCAGATGTTAGATATTAATTAGCACCTTGGGAAGCCTTAATTAGATTTGAAGAATACAATGAAAAAAGCCATCTTTAAAAAAAAAAAAAAAAACAACGCATCAAAGATGCTATTTAGGTTCCACCTAAAACAATTTGGAATGCATCTTAATAGTATTTTTTGTTTTTCTATAATTTATATTCTGCCTCCTAGAAATAATGTGAAGCAACAGCTTAGAACACTATACTAGAGATGGGAGGAAAGAAAAACGAGCTAAAAGGTTTTTCCCACATAAGTTCAGAGAGCCAAATAATACATCTTGGTATTAACTACTATAGCTCAGAGGGAATTTGGTAGAGAAAGAACCATTGTATGTAGTGTAGGGACATACAGAGGTATTGCAAAAAAGAGTTGGACATTTTTTAGAGGCAGAAAACTTAGGTTTATGTCCTTATGCTACTGTTGGCCTGCTTTGTAACTTCTAGCAATTCATTTAAACTTAGAAGGCTCAAGTTTTCTCGCCTGTAAATCAGGGAATGTAATCTTGCTTTGCCTTCCTCACATTGAATTTTTAATAGTTAGATGATTTAATTTCTATATAAAAGAACTTTGTAAAACAAAAAACATTTTCCAAATGTTAATTGTTATTTGTGATATGAACAGAGTATTCTGAGCTAATGTGCAAGGTTTTGTTTTCCAAAGTAATTATGTCTGAGAAGGAAACCGTGAGCTTACTTAGCAACAATCAAAGATTGGGGGGCAAGGCATATGGAAATGGATGACATTTTCTTCAGGATCTCCTTATTTTTCTTCTAGAGCTACTTTAAAACAGTAAGAAGGACAGAATCTCCTTGAGGTCTTGTACCCTAACAAGAATTCAGTAAAAGAAAGCCTTTTAAGAGAAATGTAAAATAAAATACTTTGTTCCCTATACCACCATTTCATTCACAGCCCTTTCCAGTCTACACTGGCATCGCAGACAATAGCAGACTTCAAGAATGTTTTGCTTCCAGATAAGTCACATTCTATTTAAAATTGTGTATGAGCTGCTTAGAAATGATACTTTTTAGAGTCAATTTAAAACAAAATTTTAAACCCACATAAAAATTGAAACAGCAGAACAATGACCACCATTTTTACACTCTCACCTAGATTCACTAACTGCCAGTGTCTTATCATACCTGCTCCGTCTTTATGGCTATACACGTAAAGCCTTTTGCCAGACCATCCAAAAGTAGGCCATAGATATCAAAAATAGGCTGTTATAATTACCACTGTATCTGCTGCTCTCGTGTAGCAGAACAGCACAATTATGGTAAAGCTTATTTTATAGTTGGTGCCAGATGTTAGTGCTCATTATCTGAAGTCTGGGAACATTTTATTGGAGTTGTGGATACTCGGATTAGGGTTATCTTCTTAGTAGTCCCTTGTGTGATGCCTCCTAAATTTCTAAGATCTGTATGGTCAGAGAAGGAATGTTTGACTATTTATGAGTGAGTTTAGGACCCTAAAAACCAAGGGGAGTGCTATTTTTGAGTGAAGGCCCCTGGGTGGTGCAAACTACTAACCTAAAGGTTGGCAGTTTGGACCCACCCAGTGATGCCACAGAAGAAGGGTCTGGTGATCTGCTTCCGTAAAGAGTATAGCCAAGAAAACCCTATGGAGTAGTTCTACCGTGTAACACATGGAGTTGCCATGGATCGGAATCAGCTTGACAGCAATGGGTTTGGTTTTTATTCTTGAGTAAAAATAAAGTGGTTAAAATACATACCTTTGCTTTTATATGACAGGCTGAAATAGTCAAGTTGTATATTTTAAGCAATTTAGAGAAAGGAAAAACTTAGTATTTATTTTCTGTTTTTTTTTTAATTGTTCTTTAGATAAAGGTTTATAGAACAAATAGTTTCTCATTAAACGGTTAGTACACATATTGTTTTATGACAGTGTTTAACAACCCCACCACATGACAACACTGTCCCTTTTCAACGTTAGGTTCCCTATTACCAGCTTTCCTGTCCCCTCCTGCCTTCTAGTCCTTGTCCCTGAACTGTTGTGCCGCATTAGTCTCATTTTGTTTTATGGGGCTGTCTAATCTTTGGCTGAACAATGAACCTTAGGAGTGACTTCATTACTGAGCTAAAAGGGTGTCTGGGGGCCATATTCTTGGGGTTTCTTCAGTGTCTGTCAGGCCAGTAAGTCTGGTCTTTTTTGTGAGTTAGAATTTTATTCTACATTTTTCTCTAGCTCTGTCCGGGACCCTCTGTTGTGATCCCAGTCAGAGCAGTCAGTGGTGGTAACCAGGCACCGTCTAGTTGTACTGGATTTAGTCTGGTGGAGGCCATGGTAGTTGTGGTCCATTAGTCCTTTGGACTAATCTTTCCATTGTATCTTGTTTTCTTCATTCTCCCTTGCTCCCAAAGGGGTGAAAACTCGTATTTTAAATGGAACTTTTGTAAGAATTGGAATCTGTCATTGGTTAGGTTATTGTTATAAATTGATAGCATCTGATGGAAAATATATCCATTATAATAACTTAATCTAGGTATGACTACAACTATAAAACCTATTTTTTTTTTCAGGAGATTTTGATGAATTCATTCAAGATAATAATGATGTTATGTTGAAAAGCATAGCAGAAGACCTTCGGAATTGCTTACCTCTAGAAGCTATGCTTTCCTCAGAACATCTAGCTCTTCAAAAAGTAAGTACGCTAGATTAATTTGTTCTAAATGCTGCTTAAAGATTCTGCTTAAATTAAGGTGATGGTGTTTGTCCCCTTATAGTTTTATACTTAAAAACAAAGTTCACACTCTCTTCTCTTACCTATTTGTCAGTGAGATATTTGAGTTCTTGTTACGGGTTTGGCCATGTGATAGGTGCTGTGCTCTCACACAAAAGATGCATAAAGCATGATCTCTGCCTTCTAGGAGTGCATTCTAGTTGTAAAGATCAAACCCATTGTTTGTAAAACAATTGTCAAAAAATACACAACAGCTGAGAATAAATGCCTAAATTTAGTTAATAATAGATCATAGAGGTGGATGAAGTATGGAGAAGGAAGATAACAGTAACAGCTGAAGTAACGTGAAAAGTATCAGAGAATAGGTAGATTAGAGCTATGCTTTGAATAATCATTAGTAATATTGAGTAAGGGAAATAATACGAGTACAGGCCAGAGGCTATGCTGAATGTAGTGTGGTATCAGGGTTGTGAGGAGACTTGCTTGCAGGTACCTGTTGGGTAGTGGTGGAAAATAAGGTTGGTTTAACCATCTAGGTTTTTTTTTTTTTTTAAAATACTGAAGACATTCTGGACTTGATAGCAATTTATTTTAATTATCTCTTTTTTTTTTAAATAAATTTAATTTTTTTAAATTGTGCTTTAGGTGGAAGTTTACAGAGCAAATTAGTATCTCATTAAATAATTAATACACATACTGGTTTGTGACATTGGTTGCCAACCCCGTGACATGTCAGCAGTCTTCCCTTCTCAACCTTGGGTTCCCCATTTCCATTTGTCCAGCTTTCCTGTCCCCTCCTGCCTTCTTGTCCTTGCCCCTGGGCTGGTATGCCCATTTAGTCTTGTATACATGGTTGAACTATGTATGTTATTGTTTGTTTTATAGGCCTGTCTAATCTTTGACTGAAAGGTGAACCTCAGGAGTGACTTCAGTACTAAGTTAAAACGGTGTCCTGGGGCCATACTCTTGGAGCTTCTCCAGTCTCTGTCAGACCAATAAGTTTGGTCTTTTTTGTGTGTTTGAATTTTGTTCTACATTTTCCTCCACCTCTGTCCAGGACCAGCTATTGTGATCTCTGTCAGAGTAGTCAGTAGTGGTAGCTGGGCATCATCTAGTCGTGCTGGACTCAGTCTGGTGGAAGATGTGGTAGTTGTGTTCCATTAGTCCTTTGGACTAATCTTTCCCTTGTGTGTTTGGTTTTCTTCATTCTTCCTTGCTCCAGATAGGTGGGACCAGTAGATGTATCTTAGATGGCTGCTCACAAGCTTCCAAGACTCACCATTTAGCATTTTGGTCATAGTAGAGATAGCCAGACAAACCCAACAAAACGCAGAAGCTCTAGTGAGGCAGAACAGACTTAGCCATGTCTGAAAAGAAAGACCTGACTTTTATTTGAAAAAAAATGATCAGTCAGCCTATCAAAAACCTTTTTGTGTGTGTGTGTGTGTTTTTTTTCATTTATCCACTGCCTTCTTTCTTTAGTTTGTAACCATGCAGTATATTTATAGAAGGTTGAGATTTCTCACATAGAAGTTTTTATAAATAGAAGAAAAGGTTTCTTACAGAAAAGAAATTCTTTAATTTTTTCTAGACCCTTTCAACAAAATATTTGTTTAATATTCCATTGTTGTCATTTCTTTACCTCTCAACCAGTATTCCTTTTTACATAAAAGGTCAATTTTACCGTCTCCTTTAAAACAGGGTACTTTCTAGGAACTTTCATTATTTTCTGCCTTTCACCTCTCCTTGTTCATTCTTTGTCTTTCAAATTCCTTGATCATATAAATTTTATTTAGCTTTTCTTTATTCCCTTACATTTTTATGTGATTTTAAAATTAAGGCAGTAGGCATTTAGTGGTTAAAAAGCAAATTTGGAGAGAGGGGATTGACTGCAAATGGACGTGAAGAAACTTTTTCAGGTGATAGAAATGTTTTAAAACTAGATTGTGGTGGCGGTTATACAACTTTAAAAATTTTGCTAAGTATCATTGAATTGTATACTTCCGTGGGTGAATTTTTTAGTATGTGCAATATACCCCAGTAATTATGTTAAAAATAAAAAAGATTCTGAAGCCAGACTAGCTCTGTGATGGCTGGGCAAGTTACTTAACTTCTCTACTTAAGATGCCTCATCTATAAGAGGGGATAATAAACCAAAAAACCAAACTCATTGCTGCTGAATTGATTCTGACTCATAGTGACCTTAGAGGACAGAGTGGAATTGCCCCATCAGGTTTCCAAGGATGGCTGGTAGATTCAAACTACTGACCTTTTGGTTAGCAGCCTGAGCTCTTGGAGTTACTATTGGTTATGGATTGAATTGTGGCCTCCAAAAATGTATGTCAACTTGGTAAGGCCATGATTCCCAGTACTGTGTAGTTTTCCACCATTTTGTGACATGATGTGATTAACGTACATGTTGTAAATCCCAACGTCTATGATGTTAATGAGGCAGGATTAGAGGCAGTTATGTTAATGAGCCAGGACTCAATCTATAGGATTAGGCTGTATTTTGAGTTAATCTCTTTTGAGATATAAAAGAATAGAGCAGAAAGAAGAAGGGACCTCATTACCACCAAGCAAGAAGAGCCAGGAGAAGAGCACATCCTTTGGACCCGGGGTCCCTGTACTGAGAAATTCCTAAACCCAACGGAAGATTGATGACAAGGACCTTCCCCCACAGCTGACAGAGAGAGAAAGCCTTCCCTTAGAGCTGGTGTCCAGAATTCGGGCTTCTCGGACTTTCGGGCAACGTGGCACTATAGTCAGAAGCACCACACCGTACCTCCGCAGCAAAGATCCGAAAAACCAAGTCAAACAGTCACATGTCAATCCTGAAACCCTAAGCATCAAATGAAGAGATAAAGAACCAAGCCAAGTGCTGAATGGAATGAGAAACTGACCGAGAACAGAGAGCAAGGAGAGATACACGCAGAGGTCCTCTATCAGCTACTGTAGAATGGATCCCCCATCTTGGACTCCTATTGGAGATCAGGGAACAGGGGGTATGGGAAAGCAGCTTCATGGAGCTTCCAGCAGGAGACAGAACAACCAGTAACCAGCGTTATATGCTTTCCCACCCCCCACCCTGCTTCACCCCCACTTAGCCTCTTCTGCTTCCTGCAGCCACAGTCTCTTGGCCAGCAAGCACCAGCTTCACCCTGGTGTTGCTTGGATTCTACCCGACCACACTGGCCGGCTCCCTGAGTGCCTTTTGTTGGCTGCTGCTGTGCTTTTTTCTGCTTCTTTAGATTTCTTCCTTACCTCTCACCACCTCCCCCTCCTTTCTCTCAAATACCTGGCTCCATATGCCATCTTTGCTTCTTCTTGAAAGGCTGTGAAACACCGTTCGACTGTGAAACTGCTTTCCGGACCATGCAGCCACACTGGTGGGACCCCTGGGGCTTTTTTGTTTGTTTGCTCTGATTTGTTCTGTTTTGATTTGTTTGTTTTCTTTTTCTTTTCTTGGCATGGGAGCCCTTACTAGCTGGGCAGTACCATGTGGCTTGGAACCTATTCCCTTACTCTGCACAGACTCACAGGGACATCCCTGGGAGCATTTCTTTCTTCCTTGTTTTTTTTTTTTTTTTTTTTTTTTTTTTTTTTTTTTTTTTTCTTTTCTCTCTTATTCGCTTTTTATCTTTCTTCATTT